CCACAGATAAAAGACCAAAGGACTGATGTTGTGAGAATGTGAAAACCATGGAACCAGTCCTCCCATCTTTCAAGGAACCTGCCTCCAAAGTTTGTAAAAGTATTTTTGATACAATATATATATATGTATATATATATATTTAAAGCTGTAATTATTACCAATGAAAGCATCTTAATAAGAAACTTTAGGATGCATATATGCTTTTTTAGTATTAAGATCACCTCATTGGTACTATTTAAAGCTTTATTCAAATTTTGCAGTATCAAATCATTGTTTATACAAGATGCAACAGAAATACCTCCCAGATATACCACCCAGAAATGTGTGTGTGTAACAGACAGGGCAAAATGGAAATGTAGAGGTTGAACAAGTCTGGAAAGAAAACACATCTTTGTTATACACCCCTTTCTATTTTTGTGTACCTTTTTCTATGTGCTGTGTCACTTCAGTCATGGCTCTTATGGCTCTCCACAACTTGTAGCTCTTAATAAGTTTTGTCTTTTGATCATCACTCCCAATCTCTGCTTCACCATCCATTCACTCAAGCTCACCAGGTAGGTTATGTATTGCTTTCCTATGTCCCTCTCACCTTCAATCTGTCCTATGAGTATCAAATTTTCCAAATCCTCTTTACTTATTATACGCACAAGAAATTTCAAGTCTCTCCCTGATGTTATGTTTAAGTGTCCTTTTTATTTCTTTTGTCTCTAGAACTTTTTAACTTCAGTCCTCTTTTCTTTGTTTTTAACAAAATGTTTTTGTTTGTACTTAATTAATTTTCTATCAGTATGCATGTGATTTGCTTCCAATACTTGTGAACTAAAGATTCACTTAAATTGCTTCATCAATACATTTCTCTTGCCTTTATGACAAAATCAGGATAATAATAAGTATAATAGCTCATCTTTAGAATTTGCCTCCCCCACACCATCAATAGATCTCCATTACACTGAAAGGGGTATGGTAAGGGTTAATCATGGCAGAGGGCTGTCTACTACCCATGTACACTAGATGGGGTGGTTGATTGTTTTTGTTTAGAGGCATAATCAACTTCTACGGGTTATTTAATGCTGAGATTTAAATATTTTGAATGCAACTTTATACCTTCAACTACAGATAAAATGTATTGCTGGTCATTTTATAATAAATATGTATAGTGGGTCATTTTTTTATGTAAAAAAATTTTATTGGTATTTTTACAATAAAACTATATTTTTACACTCATAATTTTTTGTTTTTGTTTGGGGGTTTACTATTTACCAATAGCTGGGACCCTAACAGGTGCTACTACACCAAATCGAGGTGGACCTGGGAACAACAACAATTAAAAGGTGGTTCCATGCCTAGATGAGGTAGAGTGTCCCCACTATTTAAAAAAGACCATGTGACAAATTAGGATCAGTAAATACCAATATAAAAAAAAATCAAGTAAAAACAGGTCCCAAATTACCAGAATTGAATTACCAAAAAATCTCAAGGCACAGTGTTAAAATATCAGTATTTCTGTTTTCTCAATCAAATGCTATCAGCTAGCCTTTTTAAATCACATTTTTTTTTTTTAAACTGAGGTTATCTATTCTATATGCTCAGTACATACCATTTTTATCTGGTAAAAATTTCATCAAACTATCTTAGGTATTAGAATAAAAAGAAAAACATTTAACTGAAATATGATAGAAAAGCTTTTCTAAAGTCCCAATAACCAATTGAAAAACACCAATAATCACCCAAGAAAACCAATCTCAAAATCATTAGTTTTTGTAATTCTTTTTCTTTGTTGCTTCAATATACCTTCTGTAATTCTATCATGAGTCATTAGCATTCCAAAATTTGTTTCAACTATTGAACCCATTTTTTGTTCTAAATTTTAATATTTTATCTATTTTTTTTTTTTTTAGATTTTCTATGACAGACTGGAAGCAACTGTTTTAATTAATTCTTATTTAACCTAACCTTTTACAAATCCATTAAGCAGGAGCAGCAAAAGTATGTTAAACAATACAGAAGCCATATGTCTTCTTTATTTCCATAGATTCAATATTATTGTCATCTATTGTTAACTGAGAATTTTTTCTTTTCCATATGAGTTGACTACTATTTTGCATATAACTTGAAAGCTGATTTTCCCCAATCTGTGATTTATTTTCATTTTTGAACCAGATTTGATAAGGATTCATGCATAATTAATTTTAATCTTTTAAATTTACAGCATTTCTACTTTTAGCAAAGTATTTTGATTAAAATACTAAAAGTGACTCAGCAAAATTGAACAAAAATTATTTTCATATTCTACATAAGAATGTTTTTACATATATAATTAATTTTCTATGCCTTATCAAACATTTTCACATTATTTTTAAACCAGAAAATCTTTTTAGATTATAAGAATTTTATTTTTTTTTGAGATTATAATAATTTAGTGATACAAGTCTTAATAATTAACCCTTAGTTGGGGGAAGAAGAGGTGGATTGATACATTTCCCAAGGGGATTTACCCATAAGTGAATATAACAAACCCAACTAGAATTAGAACTGGGCTCTCTGATTAAAAATTTGGAGCTATTATCCATTATACCACCTGCACATCCAAGCTTACAGCACTTGGTATTCCCAAACAGTCACCCACCTAAGTATTGACCAAGTTTGATGTTGCTTAACTTAGGTAATTGTATGGGAACCAGTGTTTCAATGTGATGTAGCCATAAGCCATTTTTACATATAATACTATACATAAGGTGCAAATGATAATGCTAATGAAAATAACTTCAAAAACCACTTATATGAACACAGCACAATGACCTGAACAGTAAAACCCATGGGTTCAAATAGATACTGAACCATTTTAGTTCTGAAAGGAAAACAACAGTTGGACTCTGAACAAGCAAATCCATGAAGAATAGTGATAACTCCACATCACAAATTCAGAAAGCTGGAGGGTACAATGACCAAAATGTTATCAGTATAACAACCATGGGGAGCAGACTGATTCAAATAATAAAATATATAATAATAATAATAATCAAGCCATATAATAATTATGAATGTGTATTTATTTATATATTTCCTGCCTATCTGAGGGACTAAGACAAACTGAAATACAAATGGTAAAAATAAGCATTTCTTTACAAGTAACATTTACTTTCAAACCATAATGTAGCTTTCCTGTGCCTTTTCTATAAATACTTTCATGGTAATTGTTCTAATAAACTTTCATCTATGGTACCCAGACTTTATGAATTTAAGTGCAGTTCTAGACTGGCAACAAGATCTCATCAATTTACAGATGAATTGGCTAGATGCAACTGTTCAGGAAAGATTGGTGAAAGTTTGTTGTTTAGAAACATTAATTTGGACTTTTCTTACTAGATGCTTCTCTATAGTTAAGTGGTATAGCACTTCAGATCAAATGATGGTTCTATATGGGACACAAGTTCGAGTCCTGCTGGAGAATGCATATTTTCTATGAAATTTCTCAAACATTCAGGTCAGTAAATGTAATTAATACTGTTTAACTAAAAAACATAGCATTTACTTAAATAAATTGTATCTATTAAAATAATGTACAAACAGAATATATATATATATATATATATATATATATATATTTCTTTTTGTGCTTCAATTTAGTCAAAAGGCCTAATATATAATAAATATCATCAATTTTATTGCCAATATTTTTTCATTTTGTTGTCTTTTTGTTTCTCAAATTTCATAAACCATCCTATTATATGTATCACTTAAATATTTTTTAGTGGATACCAATATTTGAGTAGGTGCTTGTTTTTTTTTCTTAAACAGTATATTTATTGTTGTCTAATGGCCTGAAAAATTTGTTAAATCTTATTAAAGAAAAATATGCACATTGCAGCAGGATTCGAACCCACATCCCCTTTCACAAAAAAAAACATTGTTAGATCCAATATACTCATACTGATTCAGCCATGAAGGGCATTGCCATAACTTCAAACATTATTTTTAGTGTATATCAATGTTTTGAAGAGATGCAATAGGCCTGCGCAACTGAGAAAGCACATTTTAAGTTTTTTTTTTCACTGTACAGGACAGTAGACACAATGCACATTATTTAAATATACAGGACATCTATTCAAAACATGAGTATCCACTAAAAATAATGTTCATATAAAAGGGTTTTTAAATAAATTCACAGCCTGATATGTTAACTGAATTTTGATTTGAAATTTTACAATCATATTCAATCTATGCAATTAATATTTGCTACTAAATTAAGTGCATGAAAAATTATGTTGAAAAATAAATATTTGTTGCATAAAATAAATGCTTCTTTTCCATCATTAGACTACTGATTTCTGATATATGTGTGCCTAGAATTTTGAAAATTAAATCTAAATCTAAATATTTAATAATTTCATTATTTAAACAAACCACTTTTCCAGATGAATTACATACCTACATCAAGAATTAGAACAATCTATAAAATATACCAGTAAAAGGATAATCACTATATTCACCTGTTGCTATATATGTAATAAGGTGTTGCCCTAATCTAAGCCAAGAGCTGAGTGGTATTAGTTGTATCAAACAATTCCTATCAGATTATCCTTAGATTAAAAATAAATCCAATGAAAAAAAAAAAAAAAAAAAAAAAGAGATATAAATACACAATTATACAGATATTTTCTCACATTAAACAAATACAAATATTTTTTTTTCAATACTGAAGTTAGCATAAGTATCCAAGCAGGATGATGACAGCCATCACCTGTTTTTGACCTGAGCTGCAATCCTCTTTGAGGATTGATAGTTAAATGAAGAAGAAAACTGTAATAAGCAAGACTTACACTTTATCTCTTTACAGAGTCAAATTTTGTATTAGTGACACAATATCTACTTTCATGGTATAATAGTTTTAGCATATAAGAACAATGAAAAAAACAGCTATTTCTTTCCCATGTCAACAGCATCAAGAAAACCTGAATGCTGAAACATTTTAATTAGACCTGTTGCAGTTGGGGGAATTTTCATAGTGTAAATAGCCAAATGAAGAGGGAAAGGGAAAGAGAAATAAAGAGAAAAAGGAAAGAAAAAGAAATAAAAAGAGAAAAAGGAAAGAAAAAGAAATGAAAAGAAATAAAAAGAGAAAAAGAAATAAAAAGAATAAAAGAAATGAAAAGAGAAAAAGAAATGAAAAGAAAGAAAAGAAACAAAAAGAAAAAGAAAGAAATGAAAAGAAAAAGAAAGAGAAAGAGAAAGAAATGAAAAGGAAAAGAAAGAGAAAGAAATGAAAAGGAAAAGAAAGAGAAAGAAATGAAAAGAAAAAGAAAGAGAAAGAAATGAAAAGAGAAAAAGAAATCAAGAGAAAAGAAAGAAAAATGAAGAGAAAAAGAAATGAAGAAAAAAGTGAAAAATAAATGAAGAAAAAACAAAAAAGGGAAAGGAAAAAGAAATGAAAAGAAAAAGAAAGGAAAAGGAAAGAAAGAAAAAGAAATGAAGAGAAAAGAACAAAGAGGAAAAGAGAAAAGAATGAAGAGGAAAAAAGAGAAAAGAACGAAGAGGAAAAAAGAGAAAAGAACGAAGAGGAAAAAAGAGAAAAGAACGAAGGAGGTAAAGAGAAAAGAACGAAGGGGAAAAGAATGAAGAGGAAAAGGAAAGAGAATAGAATGAAGAGGAAAAGGAAAAAGAAATGAGAAAAAAGAAAAGAGAAAACAAATGAAGAGAAAAGGGAAAGAGAAGAAAAGGGAATAAAAGGAAAATAAAAAAAATAAATAAGAAATATGATGTATTAAATACTGTTTGATAACTAAAGTCTTCATTTGTGTACTCACTGTTGTTAACCCCTTTCAGACAATTCATTCTTCAGCACCTATCAGGTGTAACCTGCGAGAGAAAACCAACTTCTTTCTTCAAGAAAAAACACTAATAAAAAAGATGAAAAAAATAAAATAAAACAAATGAGAGAAAATGGTCCTTAATATATCAACTATACCAATCCATATCAACAGCATTAAGTACAACCACTTTCTGTCACCATTTGTTTGGTTTGTTTGTTTTTTAACTTTAAGAATAAAGTTTTTTTTTTTTTTTCTGTCAGAAATTACACCTGACAAAGGTTGAAAAGTAGATCAGCTGAAATGTTATGTTACCAAATGTATATACACCAAGAAGGAGGAGATCCAATTTGTTAATGACTCTTCTCAAAGTTACAATGATAAACTAAAGCGAAAAAGGGGATAATGGCATAGTGGGTAAAAGTGTTGGTTTGTGAATTTGGTAACATAATGGTTATGAGTTCAATCCCTCTGTCAGGTAGTGTGTACTTGCACTCAGTGGAAATGAGCAAACAATAACTGAATAACACTAAATAAAACTAAGAACTAGATGATATCCCTAGATATGAGCAATGGAATGAGAACAGTCCACCACTGTAGATTAAATAAAGAGTTCAGTTCAGAATTCCTTGTAAGTTACTCAGATTTATATACAATAAAACCCGGAGGGCACAACAAAGATGAGGACAATAGTCCAAATATAAACAGTGTAAATAAAAAGAGAGACAAATCTGATAGTTAAAATAGTGCACACATATTTATTATTTTGTATAATGATCTCGGTTTCAAATCAAATGTATCAGTTATTCCAAATCCCAAGTCAGAAATATCCATAAAAACAATTCAAGTAAGCATGAAGCTTACAGAATAGATAATCAATATCAAAATTATACAGATCATCAGAGCCATTTTCATTATATTTAATACCTTATCTTTCAGTAAAAGTCATAAATAAAAGTATACTTCAATTTACACAATGGAAAACTTATGCATAATATAAGTATAATGACAGGTCTAGTCAAGTAACTGACCCTAAAGATTACTTCACTTGGCTCTTATCCAAAAGTTATTTTTGATGAAATCATTATATTTGGAAAAAGCCATTCTAGCCTAGGCAATACTAGGTAATCTTGCAGGTCAGATATGTAACAAGTGCTGTAAGAGAGCAAGAGAAGGCATTTGGTCTGATAAAAAAACCAAAACATGTAAGCGTGAAATAAATACTGAAGTTACTAGACATGGTGTGCTATCACCTAAAGAACATAATTTTATATCACACAAGCAAAGCAAGTGAGCATCTAGGTTAATATACCTTTAATCTTTGTTAATAAGCAGTGCAGACATCCAGGTAATAATACGTATATTATCACAGATTTAGTAGGTGAAAATCTGATTACACAAATGTGGCGGAAAAGCAGCAGAGGTAACAGTAGTATGAAGTAATGTAGCAACGAAGGGGAGAGGTGGTGTTAAAGACATCCCATTATATGGAAATCACTTGTCTGTCACTCAGTGAAGCCAGATTAGTCAAAGGGTGAATGTACTACATAATCATTGTCATCATCAAGCAGCCAAATAGCCAGCAGTCCAGCCAGCACAATGGATTCCATATCTGTACAGCAAGCACTGCCTAACGACTGGGTCTCCTTAAATTTTTGTACAAACAGCAAGTTTCTGGGTCAAAAATAGAAGATAAGCAATACATTATTTGAAGAGCAAATTGTTCAGATAATGGAAAAGAGAGAAAAGAAATATAACATCAACATGATTTGGTCATCCATAATGAATATTTTTTTTTAATCTGACATTTTTATTATTTCAAACGTTATTTTTAGTGGATACCCATATTTGAATAGACATTTCTTTAGAAATTGCTTTTAAGTTTCACATACAAAACTGAGCAGATATGGCTTTCAAAAAAATCTGAACAAGTAAATGTGCATTAAGGCAAATAAAACCTTACTTGACTATAAAATTTTCCCTAGCCAAACAGTCAAAGCATGCCAGACCAGATAGTGGTTTGTCCTGCAAAAATGGACACAGGTTCAAATCCAGTCAGAAGGCACATTTTCTTGAAATCACAGACAGGCCAGTAGGCAAAATAAACAATGTTTAAAAAAATGAAGTGTCCGCTTAAATACAAGTATCCACTAAAAATAATGTTTGAAATAATAATCTCACGATTTAATGTTCTAACAATTTTTGACCAGTGAAAACCCCTTCCTGAATTTCAATGCACAATATACAGATAACATGGTAGACTTTTCTGAAACAAAGTTCACATGAAAAAAAAATTACTAAATTTATTGATTAGATCCTCTGTGCTAACAGCCATATCACATTGAATCATTCATATGATCATTGAAGTTAAGCAACATCAAACCTGGTCAATACCCAAATGGGTGACTGCTTGGGAATACCAAGAGCTTTAAACTTGGATGTATGGGTAGTGTAATGGATAATGTCTTGAAATTGGAGCGAGAGTTCCAATTCCAGTGATGCTTGTTATATTAACTTACACGTAAATACCCTTGGGAAAGATATGAATCCACCTGTTCTCTCCCAGCTTGGAATTAATTAGTTGAATATTTATCATTAAAACTTCATTATTATCTCAAAAAAATTCTGAAAATACAATTTTTTTTTTCTGGTTTTAAATAACTTCCACATGGTTGATAAGCTGTAAAAACAAATGATCAATCAATGAATCTTTATATTCTATACAATGCTAATATTACTTTTTAAGTTTTATTCATTTATGGCCCTTTAAACATTCTTTGCTTTCTTGCACCAATACAAAATTCTTAGAAATTCTTCAATGGGAAGAACTAACAAATAATCCACTTTTTGGATCACACACAAACTCACTCAAGTCCTGTAAACTCCTAGAGGAGTATGGAATCACAGCTCTTAACACACTAGACATTGCTGCTGTGGTTTTAATAGCAAGTAGTATGTTTTTACGGGATGGAGTTGCCAAACCAGTTTTGAATTCACAATTGTCCTTCTAAACTTGTTACCAACTATGACTAATGAGCCAAAGCAACCTTACTATTTAACCCATAGCTGTGAGAGAGAAGAGATGGATTCATACATTCTCCAAGGGTATTCGTACATCAGTGAATGTAATGAATTTGACTGGAATTCAAACTTAGCTCTTCAATTTCTCATTACTAGCCACTATCCATTACATTGACTCCCCATTCACTTTTTGGATTAGTGAATATAATAATATTTATTGTAAGTTGTAGAAGTGCCATAATTTATCAGCATGTAAAGGGTAATTGGCAAGCCATGTTCAAATTCTGTCTGAGTGTGGTGCATTCACTTTCAAACTAATGCCCTTGGGAAAGACATGAATCCATCGCTTCTCCCTCAAGCTCTTGGATTAAATAGCAGAGAGTAAGACAACTCCAAGTTCAAAGTGATGGAAAAGGAAATGGCAAAGCACTACTATCTTTCCCAAGAATATATGGTAATTCACAAATAAAGAAAAAAGGGAATCTGTTCTGAGCCATGATCCTCTACATCCTGAAGTAGCATTAGATTTGGAATGTTAAACTAGATATTTTTAATTTCTTTTTAACTTTTGCAATTATACCAACGAGACACTCACATTTCATATTTGAAATAATATGCATTAAAATCATTTAAGCTAAATTTAACATTTTCTTAGAATTTTATAACTTTTTAATTGTAAGACAACCATGTAAGATTTTTTTTTTAATATAAATTCAAAGATAAAATAAAAAGAAAATCCTGTTCTAATCCCAAGATTTATACGTTGAAAATTTAAAAAAATTAATTTATCCCTACTTTTATAATCCTATCATTTTTGACAGGTACTATGCTAGTTTAAGAAATCCAACCAGTGATATTGCAAATTAAAATGATATAAACCTGTTGATACAAATTGTAAAAAGTGCTAATGCTGTCTGTCAAATGAGTGGCATACCAAAGTAAAGAAATTTGGCTAGGTTTCCACTCTTTCGGTTAATCATAGTAAACAAATTTCATCAACGAAGCATAAAAATATATCAAACCTAACTCACAAAAATATGTCTAAAAGAGTTTACTAGTATGAACTAAATAATTAGTACAAAGTAAAATAGTAAATAGTTGTGTTTTCTTTTATATTTATATCAGGGAGCCAATGATTCAAAGTTTACGAAGTAAATCAATAAATAACAAGTTACATCTGATTTTTTTCTCTTTACTTATGGCAGAGTTGTCCACCAAAATCAAATTCATACAAACGGCCTAATCATACTCTCTTTGATTCACAGCCATCTCCACCACCAGTAACTGGGGGCGGGGCAGTATAGAAAAAGAGGATGACGATGTGAGCAGGTGCTGATGAGAAAAATAGTCTGAAGTGATGAAAAGTAACTAAAATTAACAAGAAATAAATAGTAGAATAAAAATAATTAATCATGTTCAAACAATGATTCATCTCATAAAATTCAAATTCAAAATGATAATATTTTCAAAATAATTTTGACCAAGAAATAAGTGATGATACAGAGTTGTAAATTTTTTTTTTTTTTGTTTTACTGTGAACATAAAATTCCCTCACATTCACCTTACAAAGATGGATGATTTGTCAATTGAAACATTATGACCTTCTGCTTCACATTGGAATAAACGTAGTCTAAACAGTTAGTCTTTTCAAATACCAAGAGATAATTCAACAGGGCACTTGTCCTATTTAGACTTCGTGAAAGAGTCTCAAGAGTAATAAAATAAAATGACAGGAGAAAAATTGTTCCACTTCCTTTCTTCCATACAAGAAAAACTACCAATGGCTGTTATTAATGAAAGAAAGATGGGAAGGGGTTATAAAAATGAAATTGAAGTATAATTATGACAAGCTCAAATCCTGCATCAAAATTCACCTACTTCTTGATTGTTTAAGATGTCTTTGGTTTATGGTTTATATTAAAAAAAATGTCAGGGATTTGTATTTGAAAAAAAAAAAAAAAAAAGTTTATAAATTGTATATAAAAAAGATTTATTCAGAATATTTTGGCATGATAGGGATTAGAGATACAGATTACACGTTTAGCAACAAGGGGCAATGAATACAGAGTATGGTGGCATAGTAATACTGAGTTCAATCCTGGTGTCACGTAGTACAAGTTCACAATCAGTGGAAATAGAACAAACAAAAACTGAGCATTATAGGGAGGGAAAAAAATGATGATATCTACCAAGACAGGTTTCAGTTAGAAATTCTTGAAAGTTACCCAGATCAACAGACACTTTAAGGCCAGCGTGAATGATGGCCAAAGTGTTGTGATAATAGCAACAAAGATGAGGACATTAGTCTTGTCATCCCAGAAATTCATACAGAAAATAAAAGAGATTTATTGTGGTTAGCAACATGTAAGGAAGAATAATCCCAGGTTAATGAATATGACATCAATTTCTATATGGTATACATCATGAGATATTACTAAGGAAATTTCTAACATGGCAAAATTTCTTAGTTATTACCTTTGTCTCATGATAGTTGTTTCATTTAGTGTATGATTGATTGATTGATTTGTTTTTTACTGCTTATCAACCTTTTACAGTATATTTAAAGCCAGAAAATATTTTTGGATTGTAAAAATTTGGGGGAAATGATAATGATTTATTGATACAAATTCTATTTAACCCATAGCTGGGGGGAAAGGTGAATTCATACCTTTCCCCAAAGTATTTGTGTGTAAGTTAATATAAAGAACCCAAGTGGAATTGGCACTCCGATTTCCAATCTCAAACCATTAAACCAGCCACATATCCAAGTTTACAGCACCTGGTATTCACAAGAAGTCACCCATTTAGGTACGAACCAGACTCAACATTTCTTAACTTTGGTGATCAGACAAGAACTGGTGTTTCAACATGATATAGTTGTCGACCTTTAGTATATGAAATGTGTATACAAATATAAAATCTGCTATAGGATAGAAGTAGTATTTTCTTCCTGTTTCTTGTTTTCCTATTAAAATGATCTTCAAAAATGTTAAATTCAACATCAATTGTCATCATGTCTTCTTGAACCCTGTTCTTTTATTGACATTTCACTACAATAACATTTTCTCAGTTTCTTGTACTCACAGTAACCACTTGTGTCTTAGTGGTTGTATCACCTTACTTGAAGTGAAATCATAAAAAAAATGATATGATGTTGAAAATATTGTAGAAACAAAATTATGTGACAATATTGCAGTCTTCCTATTTAAAACTAACTCAAATCAAAAACTTTTTCTTTTAAATAGTAAAATTTAAGTATTCTAAAATAGCTTCCTCTTTCCCTTTACATTATGAAGAGAATGTTAATAATTTTGACAAACAAGATTGAACAAACAACCTACAAAGATATCTATAAAGAGATTTAACCACAGAGCTATCACTTGACACAACCAATAATGGAGTAGGGTAATTCAGTCTGTGGTAAGAACATGTTTAACCTGCACCTTCACTGCAATAAGTTTTTAGCAACTGGTGTATCTTTACAATTAACTCTCATGGTATGAGATCAAAAGCAAACCGAGATCAAAAACAGAAGATTAACTATGATAAATGGACACTTGTAAATGGGAATGGTCAAGCAAAGGTAATAAGAAACCATTAACTGCTGTTCAGATAGTCTCAAACTAGGATTGCAAGAAACTTACATTAAATTTTGTTTTTGTTCCGTCCATCCACAAAGAGACTGGATAAAATCACGTTCATATGAAAATATAAATCATTAGAGATAGATGTAATATATTCAAACTTCACTCATCTACGTTGTCATTTAAAACACTGATACAAAAATCTACAAAATTAGGAAAAATTATATACACACATTTTAAACATCTTTCATTAAATATGGTAGATAAGGAAGATTTAATTTTTTTATTTAGCTTTTCCAGTAACCTTATTTTTTGCCCATTTTATAGGAGCAAGGGAGTAGCCATTTTCAAGGGGGTTTTATTTTTGCTGTTGATAGTTTTTCCTCAGAATTTGACTGTTTAAGTTGTATTTTATTTTTGTGTTGTTTTGAATAGGAGCATTTATTCCAAGCCTTCACATGTTGAGTGTGGCTGGAATTTATGTGAGCATCTTCTAATTTAAAAAAACTTTTAACACTCCCTTTCCACTGTTAAATATAATGCTCTCAAAATAATTCGATTGAGCCCTTAGAGAGGAAGGGGTTATTTTATAAACAGTGGCTGCTGCTGCTAATGCAATGCTCTTTTACTCAAATCAAGCTTTCCTAGCTACTGTCATCTTTCGTATAGTAAAAACGTTAAAATTTCCCTTCCGCTCTACCATGTGATGGTAGCATGGGGGTACAATCTCTGACTGATGCCAAATCAGTCAGGTTTCAATCCCGGCTTGAAGCAATCAGATGTCTAGCCACACTGATGAGCTGTGATACAGCGAAACAGTCTGTCTGTGGATAACTGACTATATATATATATATATATATATATATATATATATATATATATATATATATATACACACACACACACATTATCAGGCCATAAATGGAAAACACCTAAAATGTAATGTTACATGGCATGTGCTAAATTTTTATAATCTCATTTCTCCTTCAGTCAAATCTAAATCATTAATATGGCAGCTTCCAATCTGACAAAGGAAATGAAAAAGGCACACTATACTGTGCTCCTGGCCTTAGCCCCACGGAGCTTCTTGAAGGTGCCTGTGCAGAGCCTCCAGAGGTACTCACGGTGATGCATGCCAACTTCATATCATCTATGATGGTTTTGAGTTTTGTGAGTATCAAGGGATATGTTATGCCTTGCCACTTTGCTTCTTCATGCAAGGCCTCAATGTCACCACTAACATCTAGGCACTGGACCTGATGGTCAAGCTATGGATCAAAAGTATGATCATACAGGCTCTAACAGGACTATGTTACCAACAAAATGTGATCTCTTATCTCTACTGATTTGAAGTGCCTGTACTAATACCAACAAGCCCCCACAAAGGTCTTAAAGGCTATCATGAATGAAAATTCCTTATTCAGATATGCAGTTCAAACTAAGGCAATACTTGTGGTTCTGAGTGATTTAATTAAATAGCTTCTTTTTTAGTTGAACATTTATACCAAATTTTTTAAAATATTTTCTATTGAATATCTGTTTTTCTTTATATGATAAATTTTATACCAGCACATACTTTGCACTACTTATATGTATCACTCCATTGATTATATTTCCTGCTTGTCTAACAAGGCTTTTATATATACAATTAACTGTTGACATCTTTCTAAATCATTATAAGTAAAACATATCCAAAGAATAATATGAAACACAGGCAATAAAATGTCATGTATTAGCAGCCTGATCTCCTCTACCTATGAGATATTCCATTGTTGTTGAAACATCAAGTTTGCTTACTGGCATCAAGTAACTCCATCTGCTACAACAGAATATCTCATTACTAAGTATAGAAGATCAGCCTTAAAAACTGGTAAATACAAGTCACATTGCATTTTATATTATAGAAATATATATTTCTTACACATAAAAAATGAATGCATCTATGTATGAGATAGGTAGATATCAACACATTATTTGTATATCTATGAAAATTATATTACTGTTTTCAACAACTAAAAATTCAAACATCAGTCCATAACTATATTTCAACAATTTGATGTAGTTATGAACTCATTGGTTATATAAGCTACCAACCCTGATAACCATCACCATTATATTCCATAGCAACAAAATACAAAACAGCAACTACTACTAAGATTATATAAATGACTGACCTAGAGACCCAAACATAGTTACACCAAGTCACCATGGTTGATTTCACTTCCCTGGACAGCCACCTGTTGCCATCCAGACTGTTCAGCAGAATGCAAAATAAGTGCACTGGGTGAATTTAAAATGATCTCTGCTATAGAAACATTATTTGACAAGGTTCTGTACAGAAATCTTTTGTGACTCATAAGCAAATCTCCTTGACTAAAAACCGGAAAAGCATTTAAAAAAAAAAAAAATAAAAAGGAATCAACCATAGCCAAGATCATAGAGTCAATGCGAACAATCCTTTCCTTTGCTGCATAGTATACTGGGTGTAACAACAAAATTGTCAAATTGTTAGATTTATCTTTGAACCATTGCATCTTAGAAATGATTAAAGATATCTTACTGGAATTCTCCAAGGTTTTTATAACACTATTGGACTCTACTTTGAACAATAAGAATGTATTTAGCTCTAAATTGAAATGATGAAACCTGTTGCTGTTGTGACCTCATCATCCAGTTTTCCTCTCTACCGTTTCCCGCTTTTTTAAACTTATTCACCATTCTTGAATGGACTTTGAAGATGAAAGGGAAGCCAGAGTATGAATGTTCATACCATAACTGAAGACTATAATGACCTTTTTCCTCTCACCATTGTTCAGTTGGGAAGATATAATGGGGCTGACACAAAAGGATTTTAACCTGTTCTCTTTGTAGGTGAATAACTCAAAAGATTTTTCAGCAATTCTTACGAAAAATAGTGTCAAGATGGCTAAATGTCTTATCTGAAAACCTAGAGAAAGAAAAATCAATTAGTTTAGTGTGTTTTTTTTTTTTAGATATTAAACATTTTGTGGAATGAACAATTATCCAATGCTGTTACACAATTTGGACACTTTTGCTGTTACACCTGGTATGCATAAAGTTTTGAATTCAGAGTTTTCTTTCTACACACAATCTGTCCTACTATTTACCCATAGCTGGGGGAAGAAGAGGTGGAAAAGAGTATTAAAGCATGTAAGTGAATGTACTGAACTTGAGAAGAATTTCAACTTGGCTCTCCAATTCGTCAATCTGAGCTGCAATCCATTACTCTACCATTGCAAATATAACAATGTGAAAATTCAACAGAAAGAGAATCAATCCAATATGTTTTTGGCTTTTTTTTTTTTTTTTTATTTGCCTTTTTAAATTATAATTTATCAAGTAGCAGCAGACTCACCTTTCTTCATATCATAATTATGCAAGATTGAATTATGCAAAATTTATAAGACATTTCAATGGAAAGAGAGGTTGGACAGAAAAATATTAAAACAGAACCCATAAAGTGTCAAATTTATCATTGCAATAAAAAATTATCATGTAGGTTACTTCTCTTGTTTTTTATATATCCAGTAAGTGTGAAATTGTCCCAGCCTTCTTTCCACATTAGGTGTCCCTAAAATTTCAATTCCTTTTGGTTATTAACAGCAATTTCTTTATAGTTCCTTTTCTCTTTATGGCTATAAATTTAAAAGCTTGTACAAAGACCCCTACCAATTACTGTGACTATCTCTCTTTATGTGCCATGTTCCTTCTTGATGTGGGCAATCATGTCTCACCACAGCTTCCTCATTTTTTGCACTCAGCAATAATTTCTTTTATGAACTAAACTAAATTCTCCAAACTTTCTTTCCTTATGCATTTCTAAATTTTCCACTGTCACTTTCTAATAGCAAACAGTTCTTTCTTTATAGTTTATTCCCTTTTTTAACTCATTTCACCCCAAGCATGGCTAAAGCCACTAAGACACAAAGGGTTAATGAGTGTGAAAGAATATGAGGAAAAAAAAATTAAAGAAAGGGAATAATAAAAGAACAGGAATTAAGAAGACAAAACGTAACAACTGACATTGCATTTAAATTTTTGAACATAAAACTTGACTGGAAAACAATAAGCAAGAAGAGAGTTCCACACGCAAGTGCAAGAGAAGAAACTGTTAGCATAGCATTTACAGTTACATCTAGCCATTTCAACTGTAAAATGATGAGACCTTGCTGCCAATCTAGTACTGTACTTAAATTCATAAAGTCTAAGTATATAGAAGAAGGTTCATCAGAAAAATTACCATAAAGTATTTATAGAAAAGGTACAGGGAAGCTA